TTTTTTTTTTTTTGTCATATACAGTAGGTGTTACAGCTGGAGCAACAAGTGCCCTTCTCAGCCCAAATCCCTCTCTTTCGTGGACCCTCTGGCCGTTACACATTGGTACTCATGTCGTACAAGGAACACCTTCCCTTCTAAGAAGAGCCAGGAAGCCATTCTTACCAGTTGTTGCGATGCAGTCAAATCCCACAAAGGCATAAAAGCAAGTTGCAGCACCAGCCAAAGTTCCTGCAAAGCCATAAGGCATAAAGCCACCAGCCCCAAAGATACTTGTTCCATTTTCAGAAGGCAGCTCTCTAAGGAAGAGAACAGACACATCGGAAAGTCATTTTCAGAGAAAACTGCTCCTTCTGGTGGTTCATCTCTCACTATGTCCTTGGAAGGCTGTTGTATCTGTCAGGCCTCTAAAGCTGATGCATTATATAAAACCACGTCTCACCCCGTCCTAGAGAATGTGGCATCCCCTAACAATGACCTCTCGTGTCAGTGGCACCTGACTGGAGTCTGATGGCTGGCATGTGCAGACAGCCCAGGTCACGCTGGCTGGAACCCACAGCCACACAGGATTCTACAGACAGACTCCACATATGCGTGATGCTCTGAGATAAAGATGAGAAACTTCCTCTCCCGGACACTTTTTCCTTTGAGAATCTATTCAGCAACTTATGAAGCAGGGAGTAAGGACAATTACACACCTTTAAAATGCATTTCAAAGAGACTTGAAAACCTGAAACAAAATTCCCCATGCTCGATTTAACAATACTTAAGTTAAATATTTTATTATAAATTATAAGAAATCAGAGGATACTAATTTTTTCCCTCATCAGAATGCTAATAAACAATATATGAGGTCAGACAATTAAGTTTCCAAACTCATCCTAGAAAAAGTCTACATACCTCATTACTGAATACCACCATGGTCACCTTCGAAGGACTCCCCTTGTCCATCTGGGGACACAGTGATATTCAGCAAGGAGGTATGTAGCACTTTTTCTAGGACAAGTTCTCAAACTTAATTGTCCAAGCTTGTGTATGTACCTCACTCCATGTAATAGATAATTTTGTAATCTTATGTTTCCTTGTGCAACTAATAACATCCTCTAAAAGACAAGCTCTGAAAATCACTTGCAGGCTGAAAGAATACAATGAAACTGAATGGTGGTCCCAAGAAAAGATGCATGCAAAATACTTAAAAATAGTTATTGTTATTTAATAGTGACAGATCGGGGGGTAAAAGATCAAGTTCTTCCAGTGGTTAGACTCTTCCTCTGGTCTTCCTTTGAACAGGGACCAGAGCTTGAGACTGGGAATTAACAAACAGCAGCACTGTCGCGACAATGAACATACCTATAACTTTACGTTTGGAGGGATTGGGGAGAAGGGTATTAGGACAGAACAGCCCATAAGGAAAAAAATCTTGAAAGCAAAAAGTTTAAGAAACTTCGTTCTAGAGCAGCGGTTCTCAACCTGTGGGTCGCGACCCCTTTGTAACAATGAAAATATATCCTGCATATCAGATCTTTACATTACGATTCATAACAGAGGCAAATTATAGTTATGAAGTAGCAACGAAAATAATTTTATGGTTGGGGGTCACCACAACATGAGGAACTGTATTAAAGGATCAAGGCATTAGGAGGCATTAGGAAGGTTGAGAACCATTGCCCTAGAGGAAAATTTTCACATATATGTTTTAAAAAATGTAACACCCCCCCAAAAGGAGGGGAACCCCCCCAATATTTTACCTGGCACTTGCTGATATATTTTTGAGAAACTCTTCACTAATCTTCCAGTTTGCCACATTTCCTTTCACAAACCCGGCAACCATAACAAAGAGAAGGACCAGGATGTTAATAGCAGTGAAGACTTTATTCACCCAAGCAGATTCTTTTACTCCAAAAGATAAAAGACCTGTTGAGAAAGAAGAGGAGGATATTTTTAATTTTTAACCTAAGGTAATGCAGCAAGGAGAGGGCTTCAGGATATCATTTCATCAGCATTCTTTATTTAACTCCCATCCATCCATTTCTACAGCTAGTTCTTACTCCTTGGTCGCCTAATTGCGAAAAAAATGTCTTCTGAACACAATCAATTTGAATTCATAAGGCTGATCGTGCTTACAGTCAGAAGATGCTCACACTTTATAAGAAACTCATAAATCTAGTAACTTTGGCCATTACTACCAGTGACAGGCACGTGTAAAGTAACAATTTTAATGAAATGCTATTCTAAAAAGCCACATTTTTAAGGCTGTGAACTTTTTTAAGTAAAACCTCAAAACATAAGTCTGCCATTTATTTACTGAGTATATTAAAAAATAATTCTCTAGTTGTGCCAAAAGGTACTTTGTTAAATCTATTCTCATTTTAATAGCTTCCTTTTACATTCTGACTGTAAAAGTAATCAGTTTCCTATTTAAGTAATTTGAAGATTCAGAAAAAAATGAGAAGATAAAGATCAACTATAGTTTCTCCTCCAGAGTTTTACATACAACACACATACACGCACACTTTCATGCCAGCAAATATATATCCTTATTATTATTGTTATTATTTTTTGCAGTTTTTGGCGGGGGCTGGGCTTGAACCCACTACCTCTGGCATATGGGGCCTGTGCCCTACTCCTTTGAGCCACAGGCGCTGCCCTATATATCCTTATTTTTAACACCTGTATAATCTTTACTATATTGAGGTACCATATTTTAATCCCTTATTTATAGAGAATTAGATCACTCTTAGCTTTTCACAATTATAAACAGCACTGACATAATCATCCTTTTATAAATATATTTTTATACTTTCTTATTATTTCTTTACAATAATTTTCTGCACTGTAAGCCTGTATCAAAGGGCATGTGTTTCTGTATAAGGAATTTGGTTCAGATTGTCAAAATATTCTCCAGAAAATTTGGCCCCAATTTAAATTGCCCATTTTTTTCTATTAGGATATTCTGTTCATATTCAGAAGATTTATTTGCATTAATATATAAATGTTAAAAGCTCTCTGTCATGTATGGGATATACTTTTCCCAGTTTATCGTTGGCTTTTAACATGGATTATACATATGTAGGTAAGTTATTACAATCACTTATACATTTTTCATAATTTTTATCTTTAAAAGGATTTCCCTATACCTATAAAAGCATTTAATTAATAATTAACTTGTCAATGAGATTTTTTAAATTATGTAATTTTTAGGGAGAAAAACAGAGATCACGTTGGCCAGAAAAACAAGAGGCGGACCGTCCAGGGTAAAGCAAGCGGGCAGTAGGAGCAGACATGAATTTTACTCTTGGTATGTGCAATCCTTGGTGGGTTTTTTTTTTTTTTTTTTTTTGAGACAGAGCCTCAAGCTATCCCCCTGGGCAGAGTGCCGTGGCATTACAGCTCACAGCAACCTCCCACTCCTGGGCTCAAGCGAGTCTCCTGCCTCCGCCTCCCAAGTAGCTGGGACCACAGGCGCCCGCCACAACACCCGGCTATTTTTTTGGTTGCAGCCGTCATTGTTGTTTGGCGGGTCCGGGCTGGGGATTCGAACCCGCCACCTTAGGTGTACGTGGCTGGCGCTTTAGCCCGTTGAGCTATAGGCGCCGAGCCATCCTTGGTGGGTTTAAGCAGAACTACAGGTTAAGAACGACAATCAAAAGAGAAAATGTTCAAAAAATTTATTTTAAACAAACATAAAGAGACAGCAGGAGTTAGCTTTGCCTCTAAAATAAAACTGGCTCCATCTGAGTGCTAATTATGTATCAAACAAGGCTGTACAGGCTGCACACCAACTATCTCACCCTGGGGATGAGCAGATGGAGTAATGGAAAGATGGAATAAATTGTTGGCATGACAGGATCAAAAGCCTGGTTGTTCTGACATGAATTCTAGTGCCTTTCTTTAATGCTTCAGCCAATACTGATGAAAACTGAAAAATCCTGGGACCAGGTATGTTTGTCTACGTAACATCGCCATTAAAAAATGATGGCTGATTTGAATGTGCTTCCTTTTCACTCAGAAGCCTACATTATATAGATGAAGGCATGAGACAAAAAGTTTTTCTGGAAACAGTCACCTACAAACAACTTTAGGTATATCCAACAAGATGATCAATGCCAAGAAATTACAGCCTTCCTTACTGAAATGTCACTGCCATTCCTGCAAATCTGCAATTATTATGATACAATACATGTCCTCACCCTGTTTTTAGAGCATGGCAGGTACTATGTACTCAGGAGTACTATTTCTTTCTTTTTTTAACAATTTTTGGCCAGGGCTGGGTTTGAACCCGCCACCTCCAGCATATGGGGCCAGTGCCCTACTCCTTTGAGCTACAGGCACTGCCCAGGAATACTATGTCTATCCTCCCACCCAAGGTAGACATGTTTTTGAAACACAACCTAGCACATACGATGAAATTATGATCCCAGCCAGTGACAAACTCTACAGATATCCAACATTCACCTAACAGGTATAAATAAGAGACCTAGTCTTCAGGCCCCAGATTCAGAAGTAACCTATTTTCCTGGGACAATTACTTTGGCTTATCAGGAGGAGAAGTATAATTGGTTTTCTTACCTGCTAGAAGTAATATAAGGCACACCGCAAAAAAGTCTGGATACTCTGCAAGGCCAGTATAATTCATTTTGAAATATGTCTTCAAAAACTGACCAATCTGCTTGCTGAGAAGTTCATCAAAGGTGCCACTCCAAGCTCTTGCGACACTTGATGTGCCTTCCCAAAACACAGAACATGCAGAGAATACAAGGTCACGGGAAGCAAATTATCACAACATCATTTGCTACTCTAGTCCAGGATAAGCAGGAGTTCACAGATTGAAAATTTTAATCATATACAAAATGATCTTGATAATTTATGGGACTATCTTGATAATTATGTGGAATCAAATAACTTTATTTTCAGTAAAGAATTATCATTTTTTAAAATAAAAAACCAGGGCTGAGGCTCGGCGCCTATAGCTCAACCGGCTAAGGCGCCAGCCACGTACACCTAAGGTGGCGGGTTCGAATCCCCAGCCCAGACCCGCCAAACAACAATGACAGCTGCAACCAAAAAATAGCCGGGCGTTGTGGCGGGCGCCTGTGGTCCTAGCTACTTGGGAGGCGGAGGCAGGAGACTCGCTTGAGCCCAGGAGTTGGAGGTTGCTGTGAGCTGTAATGCCACGGCACTCTGCCCAGGGGGACAGCTTGAGGCTCTGTCTCCAAAAAAAAAAAAAAAACCAGGGCTGAGACACAAACTGGTCCGCTCAAGATCGTCTAACAGCTAACCAATGCAGACCTACAACTGAACATGAAGGTATTTCCACCATTCCATACAATTTAGATTTATTTTCAAAAACATACCTATCACGTAAGACAAAATGAGATTCCAGCCCGTGATGAAGGCCCACAGCTCTCCGACAGTAACGTATGTGTACAAATAGGCAGACCCAGTCTTGGGGACTCGGGCCCCAAACTCAGCATAGCAAAGGCCTGCCATCACGGAAGCCAGGGCAGCAATGAGGAAAGACACCACGATGCTGGGGCCGGAATCTGCTTTGGCGACTTCCCCAGCAAGGACATAAACCCCGGCACCCAGAGTGCTTCCAACCCCCAGGGCAATGAGGTCCATGGTGGACAAGCAGCGGCATAATTTAGTATCTTCCAGACTGTCCAGAGTGACGACTTTTCTGCGGATCAGACATCGGGCAAAAGTCATGGCGGCTCTGCAGGGAATCATTCTGCCAAGGGCGACCTGAGCGAGAGAAGGGAGGAGGTTAGAAGCTGATGTGGAATCATCACCCCTCCATGTGGGGACACAGCTTCCAGGCACAAATAGCCGCTAGTTTTTTTTTTTTCCTGTCCACTTGTTAAAACACGTGGAGGCGTGATCCAGAACAGACGGAGGAGGGTTTCATAAGCCAAAGCTGCAATTCTCCTGCTTTTTACTTACATATTCCTCTTTGAAAAGGAGCTGCAGCAAACGGCTTATGTGACAAGCGAAAGAACTGCAAGCAACCTGGGTGATCAAAAGGATTTGCCATTTTTGTTCACTTTTCCCAATTTTTTAAAGACCTGTTGATAGGGACACATTCCAAGAGACGGCTTAGTCCTCGCTATAGGAGGAGAGTGAGCTGCCTCATCGTTTAGGTTCTTCTTTTCCTTCATCATTCATTCAGCTCAGACCTTTCTAAATGCCAGGGATTCCTCTAGGAATATGTGTAAAATGAAGTTCAAAGACGTGATCTCTGGCTTTCTGGAACTTACAGTCTGGCTGGAAAGCTGGTAAAAACATGATTATGCATGCTACAGCTTTATCAAGAGTGAGTGAGATTCTCGGCTTTCATTTAAAAAAAATTAATGTGAAGCAGATGTGAACATTTTTAGAATTTTAAAATATCATTCCCCAAAATGTGCTCAGGTTGAAAACTGCTATACAACCACCACTCTTCCAAAATGAGTTTGTACTAAAATACAAATGCTTATTATATTTAGCTGAGATTTATAAATAAATAAATAAACCCACTGTCCATGCCAAGTATTATCATATGTTCTGTTATTAATGGAATCAGTAAAGTAGATAAAAAGTCCCACTCCCCACAGATCCAAACAATCTAATACTAAAAAGGAAATCAGGTTATAAAACAAGATACAGGTTTCAGTAAGAAAAATTATATATATTATTGTAAAAAAGTTTAAAGCTAAATATACTGAACTATTAACAGTAATTATATTTTGGGGAATGAATTTCTACTTCTGTGTATTTAATATAATACATAAGCTAATGCTTATTTCTCCTTTAGATTCATATATGAATATGTTCAACTTATGTAAAAAGAAATAGACAAATTATCTACATGGCCTTGGCTACAGAAATATATAACTCAGCAAACTAGCAAGTAACTGAGGAATGTTATTTATACATCAATGTAAATACAAGTTTTCACATTATGTGACACATTACATGACAGAGGGACAAAGCATGGTTTGTTGAAAAATTAGCCAATACCAAATGGCATCTCCCATTTTGCCAATCTTCAGGCATCCAAAACCAAACCTATCGAATTGATACTTCCATAAACCAAATGTGTATCAGTTTCTACCAGGACCTAACCTGAAAACAGCTATTTTTCATACAATAAACCTCGAAGATAAGGCAGATAAGTGCTCTGTTTAAAAAGAATCAATATGTACCCTTGTAAGATGCACCGTAGATGTGGTCCCACCAATTACGCTCCCTCCACTCATCCTCTCCCCTCCCCTCTCCTCCCTTTCTCTTTTCCCCATATTCTTGGGCTATAATTGGGTTACAGCTTTCCTATGAAAGCTATAAATTAGTTTCATAGTAGGGCTGAGTACATTGGATACTTTTTCTTCCATTCTGGAGATACTTTGCTAAGAAGAATATGTTCCAGCTCCATCCATGTAAACATGAAAAGAGGTAAAGTCTCCATCTTTCTTTAAGGCTACATAATATTCTGTGGTGTACACTTATGGTGCATCTTACGAGGGTACATGTGAAACTTACTAAATGTAGAATATAAATGTCTTAACACAATAACTATGAAAATGCCATGAAGGCTATGTTAACCAGTTTGATGAAAATATTTCTAATTGTGTGTAAAATCAGCACATTGTACCCCATGACTGCATTACTGTACACAGCTATGATTTAATAAAAAAAAAATTACAAAAGAAAAAAAGAAAAAGAACAACAACAATAACAACAAAAAGACAGAACTGGCCAGTGCAGTGGCTATGGAAGAAAATACAGTTCATGAGTGAGCATCATTCATTTTTTTAATTTAATTTTTTATTAAAGCATAACTGTGTACATTTATGGGATACAATGTGATGATTTGATATACAGTGTGGAAGAGCATCACAAATTTTAAAGAGATTGGGGTCACAGTTTTACTGAATTGATTTTATGTATTTGGTGGATATTGGTGAAGTCTGAGAAAATACCACATTTCTGTAAATAAATAATTCACCTGGAAAAAAATAAAAAGAATCAATAAGAAGCAGAAGTCACATAAAGGCCAATGGAGGGGGCAGCGTGGTGGGAGAGAGTATTTCCTCAATGCTGAACTTTTGTAATATTTAAGTGTTTTAATACAAACAGAGATGCACAAAGGTCAAATGAGGGACAATGGCCAACTGAAAAGTGCTCAGAAACGAAGACCCGCTGAGTGTCACCAGTGAGTTGAGATCCCCTGAGAATGGAGGGCGTCATATACGACTTTAGGAGCATAAGTGATAGACAAAATGAGGTATACCTGTCTGTCATTTAACTCATGATGGGAGTACTTGATTAACCTCAACTTTGACAAGTAAAAGACAACGTCTACAACTAACACATATTGAAAGAGATCTAGAAGGAAGCTAAGAAAATGAAGAAGAGATGGAGGGTGATAGGTTTGTGGGTGAGCTTTTATTATTATTATTTTTTTAAATCCTTTTTCCTGGTGTTACGGTCACAGTGCTGCTTCTGAAACTTCTAAAGAAAAAAATAACACAAGGCAACCACTAACACGTCTTCTTTGAAAATGTTAAAATAGTTAAAACTGTTTATTAGTAAGTACTCAAAATGAGTATATGCTAGCTGACAGTTTTCAACTGTAATCCCACGAGGCAGGACAGCTTATCCACATGTACAGACGTAACTGAGTAAGATCTAATTTCTGCTACTTCTTTCCTATTGAGGATGGGAAGTAGTTTATGTCCAGTTGGTTTTTCTATGCTAGGGAGAAAAGACAAAGATACCATTTGTCAAGCATTCATTTGCTTTTGAGTAATAGAAAAGCAGACGTCAGAAACTTCTCAGAACTGACAGGTTACTCAACGGCCTCCGCAAACAATCTCAGCTACGCACAGCCGGGTAAAATACTGATTGCAAAAGCCGTGACAAAGCTGCTGTTGTGGCACATATAATGGGATGAGAGAGAAGAATATACAGACACACCGGGCCAATTCAGTGAGTCAGTACTAAACAAACATTGAATGGGCCCTGCCAGCAGGTGTAACGTACGGTAGGTAAAGAAAAAAGAAAAAAGATAATCTCTAAAGTATGTTTAGAGATTAAACATATGTAAAGTGTGTTTTTGTGGAAACACTCTGATAGATGAACAGAGTGTGGCTACAGGGCACCAGTAGAGAATATTTGTGTTTAATGTTGGTGACTTAATCTGACATTTATATATTTTTTCAGTTACGTGACTTTCCCTTTAAAATTTTTTTAAAAGATTAAGTACTTTGGGTGAAACGGGTATGACAATCCTACTGTCATTTTTACAAGGCATTTTTGCTTTAAAAAAAAAAATCCCTCACAGGATTTCCAGCAAACACATATGCAGAGATCACATTAAGGGATTGATTCTATTGATCTGGAGGGCACGGCCTTCATTTTTCCAGGAACAGACCCTGGGTCTGTATCATCACACTCACCATCAGCCATTGGTATTATGACCAGGATTTGTATTTAATATGAAATCTACATACATGTAAGTAAAGGACAACGGTCCAGACTTTTGACCTGAGCCTTATGCAAAACTCATACCCAAGTCCTCGGCCTTAAAAATCGAAAAGCTCTTGCCAGCATCTCTAGGAGGTCACAAAAGGATTCTGGGGATACCAAAAATAGATAAGTGTCTTTTTCAATAAACAATGATTTTATCAATTGCTAAGACAGTGTCCTCTCTCTCGAGGAAGAAAAATATGCACGTATTAGCTTAGATCTGAAAATATAATTAGCCCAGGGAATGCTGGAGGGGATTAACAATAGCTTCTGCCACAGAAAAATTCTCTGATTTTAAGGAGCCTAAGGATACATACGGGTCTTTATCACCCTCACCCCTTAAGTATAACAGTTTATAGGCCACTTATTCCTTGATGGGCCCTATTAATTCTTGCCCCCAAACTAAATTCCTTCCTTGTCAAATGCCCTCCTTCTAAAACTCCTGTCCAGTCATCAGTGTGACAGCACTGAATTTTTAGGTTTAGGAAATCCCTCGCCCTGATGATATGACAACACCCAAGAGCAGACTTCCTTTCAATTACCCAGAAAAATCTTTCAATCTGCTAATCACAGTCAGAAGTCTGTTCTAGATTTTCACGTTAGCTCAAAAGTTTGAAGTGGCATTTAGTCACATAGAAATAAATCCTTTTCTCCCTTAAGTGAAGGCTGAAATTTCAAACTTAATCCCCTGTATCAGTGTCACAGGCCTTGACAATAAATCTTATGCGAGAAACTAGTGGTGGCAAGCCAGTGGGACAGGCATCCCGGCAAACCACCAACAAATTAGTTTGTCCAAATTATAATCAAGTTTTTTCCTTTCTCATTCCACTTGCTAGTTTCATGATGAGACATCTATCTGCCCTTTCTGCTTTTGAACTGATGGGGGGAAAAAAGTAATTAAACCCTATAAAACAAAGATCTTTGCCCCATTGAGTTTTTTTCCCTAGACTTTGATTTTGCAATCTCCAAACTCAATTATATTTCTACCACTTTAAGGCTCCTATCCAAATTATGGAGGAAAGCACATCTACAGTTGTCTCATTCCAATAGATGCAGAACAATAAAAGCACAATTAAGTGTCCAACTTGGGAAGAGGGGAAGAAGAAAAAGTGCAAACGAAGAAAGCAAAGCCCTCGGCACCCTGGTAACCAGAGTCTCTGCCCAGTCAGCGCTGCCTTCCCAGTCAGAGCTTAGAGGCAGGCTCGGGCACCAGCAGACGCCTGTACCCACGAGGTCTC